GGATGTAGATTTGACCAATCAAAGGCCTCCTGACTGCGGTCACCTACAATTTTGGAGAGGTGCAGCAGAGTGTCTGTGGAAGGGGCGGGGACATATCTGTGTTAACTGTGATCCACACATAGACGACCTGGTTTCTGAGTATAAATCAGCCTTAAGGACAATGTAGAGATGCCAATTAACCTAACAGTCATGTTTCTGAACTGCGGAGGAAGCTAGAGTACCCAGAGAGAACCCACACATGCACAGGGAGAACTGTAATTAGAGGCATAGTTTGTAATGAATCCCACTACTGCTGTGTCGGCCTGACCAGAATAGGAGAAATTAGAATTAATCAAACTTTATTGTCAGAATCAGAATCAGACAAACTTTAATAACCCCAGAGGGAAATTACACTTTATATACACTGAGTGTTTATGTTGCTTACAAGTTACAACAGTGAGATAAAACGCAGTAGAACAATGAGTTGTATCCTACTTAAAAGGATTATAAACGTTCAAGCGACATTGTCCAGTTTAGAGTTTTACAGTCGAACAGTCTGATAGCAGCAGTGAAAAGCTGTTGTAGAACCTGCTGGACCTGCATCCAATGCTTCGAAGCCTCTTCTCAGAGGGCAGCAGGGAGAACAGTCCATGGTGGGGGTTTGAGGGGTCATTTATGATGTTACGGGCTCAGGTACGGTGGCCCTGAAGTGCAAACTGCAACTACAAATCTAAAAGCGCAACTACATTAAGAAATTGCAACTACATAAAGCAAAGCGCAACTACATTAAGAAAAACAAAACTACATAAAGCAAAGCGCAACTACATTAAGGAAAACATAATTACATTAACCTACCGGAAAAGGTAGGTACCAGTGGGAAACATGAGACATCGCTGATTGGACGACGGCGCCATTTCACCCTTGAGCCGGAAGTCATTCTGCCTGCTGCGGCTTTTGAAAACATGGATACTAACTGAAATTGCGTGATTAGTCTTGGGCATATCCAGTATCACCTCGGACGTATGTCCTGATTCAAAATATTCCTGGATAAAGGCAGCTATGTTTGGGGTGCCGACAATATCCATTTTTTCTATTGATGAGCAGTGGAGCGTGGTTAGGCCGGTTCTTCCAGAAGTCCACCATGATCTCCTTTTGTCCTTCATGTTCAGGATCAGGCTGTTGTTTCTGCACCAGCCCACCAACTGCTCCATCTCCTCTTTTGTTCTTTATTTCATTATACCGGTATATAAAATAAATCACAATCAATATAAACTCCCGAGATCCAGCAATTCATATTTGTACATTTTAGTAGACATTATTTCTTTATTTCTCATATGCATAACATGTGACTCTATTAAGTCTTGATGTTCCTTAAAGAGGATAATCATAACCTCCCAATAATATATTCTTTGTGAGGGTGTGGCCATGCCAAGTAGTCTTTTCCTCTCTTTCAATAAAAGCAACCTCCTTGACCAGGACATTTTATGGAACAGGGAAAGATAAGCATGATCTTAATATCTTAATATGTTTTTCTATGTTATACTTTGATTGTGTTTATTGAATAATCATCTTAGGCAAAACAAAGATTCCTTCATGTTCACTGTAGTGCACATCAAGACTGACATCATTTTAGCAAGGTAGACTTCTAAAAGTTGCAGGATACCGGTCCTCAAGATTTGAGTTTGACATCCCTCCTCTGGATGTTCTTCAGGAATGGGACATTCCTGCAAAGCTCCAGGTTCCATTCTGGTAAAACCTGCTGAACCATGTAGGAAAGTCCAGTTAGCATCAGGAAACAAACCTCTTAAAATGGCTACTTTGATAAAATAACACCAGAAGTGCTCTTGCTGTAATCTGGTAATGATTGTTAATATGGTGTTTCAGATGTACGAGGAGTTTTCTAATGCGAGAATCGATTTCTTTTAAGGTTCTCTCGTTCAAACTGATTTAAAATCTGTTGATCCCTGAGCACAGTTGCCTCCTTTTACAATCAAATAATCAGAATCTAGCTGTCAGAATAACCCAGGACCGGTTTTGGACCTCTGACTCTGTTTCATTTCTCAGGAGTCTGGCTGAATGACCTGGTCCAGGTGGCTGCTCATGAGATTGGTCACGCTTTGGGTCTGTGGCACTCCAGGGACCCAGAGGCTCTGATGCATCCCAACGCCACGTACACCGGACAGAGAAACATTGCTCAGGATGATGTGTGGGGGATCCAAAGACTCTATGGTACCTACCTGAAACACACAAAAAAGTGTTATGTCGAATCTAAACTCTAGTCTGTTTCTAGGTGCAATGTGTTGTAGTGTCAATGCTGAGGATGCTTCTGTAGGTTCAGTTCAATTCACTTTATTCATTTGACACCAATTTATTTTAATCATTAATCAAATAATTAAATATGTCTTTATATTACCCTTCTCAACAACAACATATGCTATTCAACCAATCAAATGAGTCTGATTTTTGTAGAAAAGGGATCTAAAGGTTATTTCACCATTTTTGTTTTGTTTGTGTGTCTGCAGGATGCCGGAACAAGAAGAGAGTCTGTGATCCATGGGCTCGCCTTGGATTCTGTGAAAGGAGAAGGACCTTCATGAGGAAGAACTGCCCTCAGCGCTGTGATCTCTGCTATGGTGATTGTAGACCTTGGAGTAATTTATAGTAAAGTGTGGTACCATGTTGTAGAGTAGAATGGTTACTGTGGTCTTTGAGCTAGCAGAACCAAACCCTTGTATCTGACCAAAAAACATATTTCTTGTCTGGATCTCATGCTCATCACAGAGCCCCTGGATGTGGTCACCACGCCGACGTCACCTCCAGCAAATGTAAAGATAAAGATGGTTCCTCGAGGGAAGGTTGTTGGTTTCCGTTGTGGGACCAAAACCCACCGCTCACCCCCCAAAGTCAGGTCAGCACAGACAAAGACAGGTTCAGCCTGTTCAGCTGTTCAGTTTGGAACCAGTAGTGCATCACCTAACCACTTCATTCCATCCTCTGTCCATGTGTCCTCCAGTTGGTACAAAGACGGAGAGCAGATCTTAACCTCCATCCCTGGTTACATCGTAATGAAGGACAGAGACCTCCGCATCGTCGCAAATGAGTTCAACGAGGGCGTCTACACCTGCCGGATCCACCGGCGTGGGGACATCGTATCGGCTAATTCTTGGGCCATTCGACTGAAACCAGAGCAGCCGTCAAACAGCTGAGAACATCTTGAGTGATGGACACAGGGACAGGAGACGCCAAGGGAATGGGGAGCCTTGTTTTGGGATATAATAACCCCGAAGAACAGTCCATCAGTATTTAGTGTTGGATAATCGGGAGCTTCTCACGAAACATGAATTGCATAATGTGATTTGCTGGCAGCCAGCAGGGTGTCACTCTCCGGAGTCAACTGTCTGATGGGGAAACAAGGATCTAGAATCTTACAGATGCTCTGGGGGGTGGATCAGAACTTATCTCACCTCCTCAGAATCTGTACTAAAGTCAGGGACATCAAGAAATTTCACAAAGTTCTGTGAGAGTCAGCTTCATCTCAGGGAAACTATAAACACAAGTCAGTAGTCTAACTGATGTTTCCTTTGCTCTGCTAGTGATTCACCATCTCATTTAGGCTGAACATCCTGCCCTCTATGACTTACATAACTGATCGAAACATAACAAGACCACAGCAGATTTGAAAAACCTTCACCATGAAATCATCAGTTCTCTGCTCCGCTCCCAGGCATCCTAAAATGGTCATCTATTAGACGTCTTTGTGACCTTGGCATTATCTGTCGACTTTATTTTATGTCTGGGATTTTTTGTGTCTCCATCATCAATTTCAGCTCTGCTATGGAAAAGAAAACAATAATTTTTCTCGTACCTGACTAAGATTTCTCTTTAGTTGATGATAGTAAATGATCCAACCTGTGTCATCTGCGCAACTTTGGTCTTCCGAGCCAAGCTGTTTGTTTCTGCAGAGAAGAACGTACAAAATAGAAGACATTGAGTTATTATTCACGAGTCGTTTTCCACAATGGCGGTCAAACAAACAAAACAAGCCGGTAAGGTACCAAACAGGAAAAAAGCATAGTGTAAAGCAGATGTAGATTTGACCAATAAGAGGCCTCCTGTCTGCGGTCACCTACAATTTTGGAGAGGTGCAGCAGAGTTTCTGCGCAAGAGGCGGAGGCACATCTGCGCTAACTGCGACACAAACACAGACCTGGATTCTGAGTATAAATCAGCCTTAAGGACAACCTAGAGATGCCAATTAACCTAACAGTCAAGGTTTTGAACTGTGGAGGAAGCCAGAGTACCCAGAGAGAACCCACACATGCACAAAGAGAACTGTAATAAGAGGCATCGTTTGTGATGAATCCCACTAGTGCTGTGTCGTCTGCAAACTTCTTTATATGATATTTTGACCATATCATATGGTGGGGGGACGACCGAACCGACCCAGTGATGGTATGCTTCCCCCCGCCTGCCTTACCGGGCAGGCAGGGAGAAGCACAGGGCCGCTGTTGTCCAGGCTACCGTCACTGGGTCATGTGCTGTTGCCCCGTCCACCGCTGGCTCCCTGTTTTGACTACGTGGTGCACTGTTGTCGACCAAAATCCCAGATGATTTTGAAATTAAAAATTGAATTGAAAAGTTGGACATGTCCCAAAAAAGAGGACTTCTGGTCACTCTACTATATGGTTGCTTTATTGTCTTGCTGTGCATTCACAGACTAAAGAAGGGGACTCATTACCCAGCCCAGGGTGAGCTATTGCTGAGGGTGATGGTGGAAGAGATGGTGTTGTCAACCCTGCAATTCTGAGGTCTGTTGTCCAGGAAGACCAGGACCCAGTTCTCAGTGTGGAAGAGCTTTCTGTGCTAAGGTCTATGGGATGATGGTGCTGAAGGCCAAGGAGAAATCCAAGAACAACAGACAGATATAGGAGTTTGCCCTCTCCAGGTAGTGAGGGCTGTGTTCACCACCGATGAGATGGCATCAGCAGTGGATTGGTTCCTCTTGTAGGCAGACTTGTGTGTCCAATTTGACATTTTGCATCTCTGTTGTAGCCCATAATACATTTGATGCACTTTCACATGTGCTGTGGACCATTTTATTTTGTGGGCATATGTTGCTTTGTACCATTACGATGCCTGCAGTCAGTTTTTCCTCACTTACGGGGAGTACAGATATGACTCACCTGTCCTAAAAACAGCATCCCTAGCTGGTGAAGACTCCCAGTCATTCAGGTCATAGCCATTCCTAAAAAGGTTAAAAAACAATTCACTTGACTTTGTTTCCAAGTTTTAAGACGTTTCACTTCCCAATTCACATTTTGAATTGAAAAAGCTTCCTAGATAGAAAGTGAAACATCTTAAAACTTGGTAACAAAGTCCAGTGGATTGTTTTTTAACCTTTTTGAAGCATCCCTAGCTTTTATCCGAGCTCTTGCCTCAGCATTCAGCCAGTGTTTCTGGCTTAGATAGCAGGTCTACCATCCTGGTGGTAACATCATCAGCACTTTCGGAGGTGAAGCTGAGAACAGAAGAGGGGAATTCCTCCAGGTGTGCCCATATGTAGCCGCCTCTACAAAGACCTACCAATCTGTGCACTGAAAACAGTCCAGTAGCACAGCGGCTACATCTCTGAGCCACATGGTGGCTGTGTTCTTAGTTAGCCTAATCCATCTCATCAGCTGTTGATATGCTGGCACCAGCAGGATGGAAATATAGTCAGAGGTGCCAAGATGGGGTCAAAGAAGAGCTCTGTGTGAATCCGAAATGTTAGTCTATACACAGTCCAAAGTGTTTCTCCACAGGTGACATGCAGGTCAAAACTGGGTAGAGTTTCATATGGCTAAAGTCCCCTGCAACAACACAGGCTCTTTATCTGCAGCGACCTAATGATATCATACAGCTCCACTGGTGCTTTGTTTGCATTAGCTCCTGATGGCATGTAAACAACAGCGATGAACACTGCATTCATTTTCAATAGCAGATACTACCTACAGGTGACATTTCACTGTCTTATGCTCTGTCGCCCCAAAGCAGTAGCTTTTTACCAGTCCACTCTTCCTACACCAACCTTTATTCACATACATACAGAGTCCTCCTCTCTGTGTTTTTCCTGCCCAGTAGTCGCGTTCCGCCTGGGCTAATTGGGAACTGTCCATCTGGAAGGCTGAGTCTGGCATGTTGTTAAGCCAGGTTTCCATTAGGCAAAGAACATCCCAATTCCTCATCTCTGTGGAAATACTAAGCCTAACACATAACAAGTCTACTTTGTTTTCCAGTGGCCTGACATTGGCCAGAAGGAGAGTGGGAATCGGTGGCTTCCTAGCCTATAGCTGAGTTAACACACCTGTCATCTTCCTCCTCTTCTGTTTTCAGACACAATGTTTCCTCCTGACTGTAGCTCTTAAACTCTTTTGTGTGAGTCCGTTGTAATCAGTAGCCACTGTCTCGCAATTTAAAAAAATTGAAACATCTCATTTGGGCATAATTTTAAGCTGATATGTACTTTAGGTGTAAATCAAGTACTGAACTAGAGCCTAAATCCCCCTGAAAATAATTTAGATATAGCCTAATGTCGAGAGCCGAAGGAGCTGCTGCACCTTTGTGCGCCAAGATAGGAACAAGGCCAAAGATGTTGCAGGTGATAGGGTTATCCGTGCAGAACCACGACCACCACCAGCCTTCTACTGTGATGCTCTTGTAATATTACATGGTTAGTTTAGTCCTGCTTTAGATTTCCCAGAGGCTCAACACACCAGTGCACGCCATCATTCCCTTCCAGAGCCCAGATACTCTGCCACCTTAATGAATTACAAGACCTCACAGCGAATTAAGTGTGCATGCTCAGAACCTTGAAGGAACAAGGTTTGGTTTAGAGCAGACAGTGTTCCTTATTAACTCCTGAACCTCACCACGGTAACAATCTGGCTTATTGTTTGTGTTTTTTCTCGTTCTGTTTATACCTGACGGTCCATCTGATTGGGTAAACGTATTTCTGTCATAAAGAGCATTGCTACATGGGTCTTTAAATTCCAACAGCCAACATCTACAAGCTTTCCAGATTCTAGATTCTAATATTTTAATGATAGAAATGTTTTGATTGTTGAGCAGCTGTAATAAATATTGCTATTTTTCCATTATCTTTATGTATCTCGGAAATGCTTATTGTTCTGCATCTAAACTGCAGAAAGTTCAATTTCTTGTTCATATAATATTTTAACTACGGTATCTGTGCATGAAACAGTAGTTCCCTGCCACTCTACTACTAGGTAGTGTATTCTTTGAAACTTAATGTGTGTATTTCCTAAAAAATGCTCCTCCAATAAGTTATACTGTGCTTGGGATGTTTTCAAAACGTTAAAATTTTGAACCTGTTTACAAGTTGTTCATCTTTCAAAGAAAAGGGAAGCTATTGTGTAGATAAATGTAGAACACAATAAAAGTTCTGTATTTTCGCAAGAAATCATTGTTGTGTCCTAATGTCCTAAAAGTTAGCCTTGATAGCATTAGCGTGCTATCACTGCTCCATTAACTTCTGTTGTCTTCTGTTGTATTTTAACATTAGCGACAGAATGCTAACATTAGGGGCAATGTTGTTTTTTGGGGTTGCCGGGTGGTTAATATTTCTTATTAATTTCTCAATTAAATAAAAATATTTATTTTTATTTACAACGTTTGAAAATAAAAAAAACAAATGTTTGTATTTGATCATTTAGTCTAGATTTTTGTATGTGTGTTTATGCTTAAATGTAAATAATAATTAAGCCACTTTTCCTTTATTTAGCCAAGTGTAATAAACCAAGAGGCAATAAGATTAAATAATTTTTTCTAGTAGTTTATTATTCTATTTATTACTTTTTTGATTAATTTAAAAATAAATCAACATTTCTTAATGGAAGAGTGTTATTAATTTTAAAAGAAATATATTGTGATTTTTAAATGATTGTATACGGCAAATATTTTTGATTTTAAATTAGAAATGTTTATTTTTTTCTAGTTTTGTTTGTTCTGTATACGTAACTCTTGGTAATTATTAGATTTGATTACAAAATTGTATGATTATTCTATTAATCAATTTGATTCTTTTTCTTTTTGGCCTCAAATCAAAACTAAACAAAAAAAATAATCAGCGAGAGACTGATACTTTAGTTAAAAAAAAAAAAAAACTTTTTATGGAAACAGAATATTAGCACATTTTTTTCTATCTTTGTGAGCTGCCGGAGCAGCAAAACCAAATTAATGCCATTTATGAGCACTAAATTGGTCAAAATCATTGCAAGAACTCCAAATGGCCCTAGGACCAGACTTTGGAATCCCCGTTCCAAAGTATAATCTAGTGTTGAAGCATCAACCTGGGGTCTTTCTAGAGAGATGATGTTTTATTTTTGCATTAGCGGAGTCTCCTCAGTACTCTGAGAAGCTTTTTTTGTCCCATGTGTCTCTTTGATGGACCACAGACCTGTCCATAGTTCTAGTTCTCACCCAATGACAGCTGGATTGCAGTCATTGGGTGCTTGTCAGTACCCGGCAAGCAAAGATGTACTGATTTAAAAGAAAGATGCAGGGATCAAGTTATCTTTGGTGTTAAAATTTGCTTGATGAGCCAACCAATTTTGAGTAAAAAAAGTTTCTGTTCATTTGATGGACTGAGCAGCAACGAGAGTCAGGCACAGGCCTGAGTCCAAAAAATACAGTTCTTTTATTTAATCCAAGAAGTGAAATATAAATTATAAAGACACAATGGGGCCATAAGAGATCACAGTAACAAAACTACTCAGAATTACTAGCAACAAAATATGACTAACTCAAACAAACTGATCTACCATGCTGAGACACAAGGGGAACTTAAAGAAAGACATGGGGTATAACATACAAAATCCTCAAATGAACCAAAGAAAGCAAAATCCCATCCCCTTTGTGGTCTGTGTCCAAAATGAATTCCTGTCCAAGCAGATAATACCTGAAGGAATTCAGGACCCACTTGATGGCCAAAGGCTTTTTCTCCGCTGGTGAATACTGTACTTCCCTTGGAAACAACTTGCGGCTGATAAAGGCAGCCGGATGACCATCTCCTGGTGGTCCCTGCAACAGAACTATTCCAAATTCTCTCTCAGAGAAATCGGTCTGCAGTCTAGCTCAAAGAGGGCTTTGCAAAACTGGGTTCTTACTGAATGTCCTGAAAAGCCACAGGTCCTGAAAAGCCACTTCGGCGTCATCAGTCCAGTGGATGTTAAAGTGGATCCAGTTAAATCTGACAGAGCAGCTGCCCTGGCACAGAAATTAGGGAAGGATCTTAATTGTTTTCTTGTCACTGGAATGGGACAGGACTCAATGGCAGAAACTGTATCTACCTGAGGCCTCATTACTCAATTTCCAATTACTAATCCAAGATACTGAGTTTCAGCTTTGGCAAACAGGCACTTTGATGGATTAACAGTCAAGCCAGCAGACTGAAGATGCTGCTAACATCCTTTACAGAGATAATGGTGGTTGGCCTTCTCCAGGTGCTCAACCATTCTGTCAAAATGACATAAATGCAAAAATGGATGCTGTCATTCTTTAGAATCAGGACCACTGGGTTGCACCACTGGAATACATTTGAATTGTACAGATTTCTCTCCTGGCTCTGCTTTCCTTCAGAGAGGTGATAGAGGTCCAGGTCTTGAGGAGTGACCGCTGACACATAGTGCTCTTCTGCTACCACATCCTCCTGAACATATTTGATAAATAAGACCTCTTCTGCTGCCTTTGGTCCCGTCATCCACTCCTTTAGCAAGTTGATGTGCAGTACTCTGCTGGAGTGGGGTTGATCTGGACTGGTCATCTGGTATGTGGTCTGTCCCAGTTTCTGCTGGATCTCATGTGACCCCTTCCACTTTACTAGCATCTTCCTGTCATCCCTTGGCACTTTTATCCAGGAGTGAAAGACCTCACTTGGCTATCTGGTCACACCAGGCCTTCTGGTGCTTATGTGATTCTGCCGTTTGAGCCTGCGCCAGTTCTATCTTTTCCAGCTGCTCATGCATCAGGACAACATAAAATACCACTTTAACAGCTCCGGACATTTCTTTGTCGCCATCCCAAATCTTCCTCAGAGGAGATAGGGGAACCATTACTTCATGCCTGTATAACATTTAATACTCCATACTCTGGGAGTATGGAGTACTGGGCCCTTTAATAGGGGCTGTTATGTCCCTGCATAACCGGTGTCAGAGCCTGGTGTGCATTGCCAGCAGTAAATAGGACTTGTTTCCAGTGAGGGTTGGACTCCGCCAAGGTTGCCCTTTATCACTGATTCTATTCATAACTTTTATGGACATAATTTCTAGGTGCAGCCAAGGTGTTGAGGGGATCTGTTTTGGTGGCCTTAGGATCGCGTCTCTGTTATTCGCAGATGATGTGGTTCTATTGGCTTAATCAGGGATTGACCTACAGCTCTCTCTTGAGCGGTTCGTAGCCAAGTGTGAAACGGCCGGGGTGAGGATCAGTGCCTCCAAATCCGAGACCATGGTCTTGAGCCAGAAAAGGGTAGAGTACCTTCTCCGGGTTGGGAAGGATGTATTGCCCCTATTGGAATGAGAGGAAGAAGGAGGGGAAGATCGATAGGCGGATTGGTGCGGCATCTGCTGTAAAACGTGCGCTGTACCTGTCATGAAATGAGGACAGATGGACCCAGTATTCAAGGAGAGACAGTCAGTAGGCAAGTTCAAAACATTTATTAAATGAAGAACAAAACTACAAGGGGAGCTGCTAGGATCTGTGGCATGCGGCAACTGCAGGTGGGGGGCGGGGCACCG